AAGTGGGCAAGTGGTCAAGTGGTGAGTCTAAGGTAGGCCCACGTTTTCAGACGAAGACAAGTGGCAAGGTCAACAGGTAGGACCTCAGTGCAACTGCACTGAGTCGACGGTACGACCGCCTACAGTCAGCAGAAGAGTCTAGAGAGTCCCAGTCCAGTCCAGCAAGTACCACAGGGGGACTGTGAGCACCAAGGGACGATGGCAAAGGGCAGACCAACGAGTTTCTGAAGTATAAATCAAGAGGCAGCGCCCAGCCATTCATTGATTCCTGCGGGGAACCATGCGGAAGCGCTGMCTAGCGACTTGTGCAGGAGGTCTGCAGATGAGCCCGGAGGACGCAGTGGGCTAGAGAGAGAGGAAGTTAGTATAGCGCTAGGGTTAGATGCAGTAACAGCTGCCATAGCTGTAATTAGTAGTGAGTGGGTGTGTAAGTGTTGGAGTGTTAGAGGGATGCGTGTGGGATATCCAGGGTGATCCAGTGTATGTGAACAGTGAGTTGTTTGGGCGCTGAAGTCGCCATAACTGATTGAGAGTGAACTCATATCTGAAGCCATATCTCTGAGTCTTGTGTGGGCGCATGTCGCCAGTATGCTGCGTTGCTGTTTACATGCATGAAAAGTGTGTTTGAAAACGAGTATGATTGCACAAGGCCGTAACCCTCTTTAAAATGAACAAGAAAAGAAAAGTAAAATTGGAACGACACAGCGACGGTTAGCATCACCCCAGCGCACGGATGACACGCATAAATCGAGTCCTTTTTTTTTTCCTTTCAAAAATAAAATAAAATTATTTTTAATCGCGTCCCTTAACATCACGGTCAACGTGATTTCGAACACGTTCTCGTCAAGTTGATTACTCCTCTCTGTCACACCACCACTTGTGTGCATTATGCATGCCACGTGTTTTGCATGAGGCGTGCCACGTGTTTTGCATGAGGCGTGCCACGTGTTCGCACGATCTGTGCATTATGCATGCCGCGTGTTTTGCATGAGGCGTGCCACGTGTTTGCACGATCTGCGCCACGTGTTTTGCAGTTTGCGCTTCCACGTGGAAGGCATCATGCAAAACACGTGTGCATGATGCTTGCCACGTGTTTTGCAAGATGCGAGCCACGTGTGTGCATGATGTGTGCGATTATGTGCCGAATCTGTCAACAAATCTTGGAGGAATATTTAGCAAACAAAAAGTAACCTACTCAAAAGCGAAAAAAATAAAATTCGTTGGGGAAAAAGAAAAACAAGGCCGGTGAATTTTCAGAAAAATCCTCCCCCCCGCCCCCCCCCCACCAAAAAAATAAAATAAAATCGCAATAATAGAAGCGGTACGAAAGTTGATGTGCCACGCGTGATGCAAAACACGTGGCACGCATGATGCAAAACACGTGTGCATGATGCGTGACTCGTGTTTTGCATAACGCGTGGCACGTGTTTTGCATGATGCATGCCACCTGTTTTGCATGATGCATGCTACGTGTGTGCATGATGCTCAGAACGCGTGTATTGATTGGCCTATTACGCAGTTTGACGGGTTGTGCTGCATGTCCGGGGTGAAGAGGGGAGGGGGGGGGGGAGAAAGGGGAGGAGGAAACCACTTCCCTGCCATTTGCCCCCGAACACAACGCAGCCCGATGCATGACGGAATCGGACTGGAAAGATCGGTTGTGTACATTCATGATGAGGGTGCGTTGAGTTCGGGGGAAGACGGTAGCCTCTCGGCTCTCTCTCTCTCCAGTGCCTAATGATCGAATATGCCAATGGGGTGGGGGACAGAGGGCCTCGCCGCACCACTTGCCAAAAGCGAACATTCCTATTGCATCTGGACCAAGGACATGATCAGATTCGTTCATGCTGTTGGCATTTTGGCGAGTGGTGCGAAGAGGCCCAGAGGCTTCATCAGCTGTACACACTGGCACTGGATTTTGTAAATTAGCTCTACGAAGGCGAGAGGGAGGTCTACAGAGGCATCTGAGAATGGCCATTGCCAGCACTCCATATCTTAGGGTATGGGACTGAGGATGGCAATTGCAAGGTCTTCACTCTGTGATCTGCTGCACCGGAGGACAGCATCTTTTACTGGGCAGTGCCTGGAGTTACCAACGAGAGAGAGAGAGAGAGAGAGAGAGAGAGAGAGAGAGAGAGAGAGAGAGAGAGAGAGAGAGAGAGAGATGGATCTGGAGTTGGGCGTGGTGGAGCGCCATGGGATGCTGTCAACGTTTTTTTTTCTTTTTCTTCGCGGTCACTTGTGTGTGTGTGTGTGTGTGTGTGAGAGAGAGAGAGAGCGAGCGAGCGAGCGAGCGAGCGAGCGAGAGAGAGAGAGAGAGAGAGAGAGAGAGAGAGAG